TTTTTGCCAGAGTCTCACTTTGTCATCCTTGGTAGAGTGCGTGACATCATAGCTCATAGCAACCTCAGACTCCTGGGTTTAAGCGATTCTCTTGCCTCAGCCTCCCAAGTAGCTGGGACTATAGGCTCCGGCCACAATGCCCAGTTGTTTTTAGAGATGAGATCTCGCTCTGGCTCAGGCTGGTCTCGAACTTGTGAGCTCAGACAATCCACCCATCTTGGCCTCCCAAGTGCTGGGATTACAGGCTTGCGCCACCGCACCAGACCCACGGACTGTTTCTTAAGGATACATTGCCATGAAATGAGTTAAATCTACAAATATTTTGAGAGTTTTTAAAGCGCATTATCAAATTCATTTCTAAAACATCTTATTTTATCTTCCATTCCTCAGGAACTCATGAGTCTTTGAGGATTGTGAAAAATACCTTTAAACTACTCTCTCAAAGTCTGAAGATTTAAAAATTGTGTATAATTAATAGACTTCAATATTAATCATTCCTAAATGTGAATTATTGAGTGAGGAATAATCTTAAGAACTGACAACTTATTACTTTATCTCAATTTTTCAGGTTAGTAAATTACCCTATGTATAGAATAAGAAAGCTATGCAACACTCAATGTTCATGCACCTATAACTACCAAAATATTTCCCTTTACTGGCTATTTCTAAAATCAAAACTAAAATAAACTTAGAAGTAATGGTAAAATAATAGCATATGTGTCTTATATGAACAAATCACTGAAATATTACCTACTCTTTAATTTTTTTGTCTCTTTACCTCTAATATAAAATAAATATATTTTAAAGATCAGAGTTATTTACCCATAGTTTTAGGCTTTGTGTTCACATTGATAACTTGTTCATGAAACATTGAAAAAATATTTGTTGAATGCCTACCCTATGAAGGTGTTGTTCTAAGGATTAAGGACACAGTGTTAATAAGACAGTCACAGACATAAATTGTGCCCAGAATCTACTTACTGTATACAAAATTAATGAGCAAATTCTCTTCCCAAACTTATCATATTTGTCATACCCATTTGCACTGGAGTAAGACTATCTCTTAAACAGTAGATACTTTCTTGCAAGGGAATGAAAAGTTGCTCCATCTCCCAAAGGGTAACTCATGTGAGGAAACTTGTTTCTGAATATATTGTGACTAAAGCCAACCTCCGAGCTCCACTGTCGTTTCACCTATATCTTTCCCACATTCTCCAAGTCCACTCTTGTTTTTAAGAAGGATAAATATGTTCCTCATGCAGTACACTGTGGTTAGAAAGGGTTATGGAGACGAATAGTGCAAAAACTGAAAAGAGAAAGAAATCATTCAGCAAAAAAAAAAAAAAGCATTATTTTCTCTGAAAAATAAATAACTTTATAAAATTTATTGTAAAAAAAGATTTATATCATTCTTGTATTATCATTGCAAATAAAACAATAGTAATTTGACTTTTATTCTCTTGAGAGAAATAAGATTAGGAATGGAAAATGTGTATTAAAATGATACTTTTCTACTTGTATTGAGAATAAATTGCAGTAGCAGGTTAGGACTCTGGGTGTCGCTGTTCACCAACCGGGCGAAAAAGGACAGCCAGAAATGAAATACGAACCACAAGACCTCTGCAGCACAAAGCACTGTTTTAGAGGCTTTACCAAAGCTTCATCCTGGACCCCGACAGCTCCAGCACCCAGCGATGAAAGCAGTTTATTTTGGACTCTGAAGATTTTAGGGCTCCTCCGGGCACCACAGAGGGAAAACCGAAGCGCACGGTATTCCGTGGCGGAGCTGTGATGGCGGCTCCTTCCTACCGCCCAGACTGCAGCTGCTTGGTCAAGATTTGCATTCTCCTGGGAACCTTGCGGGAAATTCGGGCCGAACAAATCCGCTACTCAGTGTCGGAGGAGCTGGACAAAGGCTCTGTGGTAGGCAGCATCGCCAAGGACCTGGGACTGGAGCCCCGGGAGCTGGCGGAGCGAGGAGTCCGCATCATCTCCAGAGGTAGGACCCAACTTTTTGCTTTGAACCCGCGGAGCGGCACCTTGGTCACAGCTGGCAGGATAGATCGGGAGGAGCTCTGTGACAGATCTTCCAAATGTATGGCAAACCTGGAGATTCTCCTAGAGGATAAAGTAAAGATTTTTGGAGTAGAAGTGGAAATAATCGATGTTAATGATAACGCGCCCACTTTTGGAACAGAGCAGAGAGAAATAAAAGTCGCTGAAAGTGAAAATCCTGGGACAAGATTTCCTCTTCCTGAAGCTTTTGATCCAGATGTAGGTATAAATTCCCTGCAGGGTTATAAGCTCAGCCCAAATGGCCACTTCTCCCTGGACGTGCAAAGCGGAGCCGATGGGATTAAGTATCCCGAGCTGGTGCTAGAGCGTGCCCTAGATCGGGAGGAAGAGGCAGTTCACCACCTGGTTCTCACTGCCTTCGACGGTGGTGACCCAGTTCGGTCTGGCACTGCCAAGATTCACATAACACTCGTGGATATCAACGATAATGCTCCAATATTCACTCAGCCAGAGTACCACGTAAGTGTTCGTGAGAACGTGCCTGTGGGCAGCCAGCTACTCACTATAAAAGCCACTGATCCAGATGAAGGAGCCAATGGAGAAGTGACATATTCTTTTCGGAAAGTCAGAGATAAAATATCCCAGCTATTCCAGTTGAACTCTTTGAGTGGGGAAATAACAATATTGGAGGATCTGGATTATGAGGACTCTGGATTCTATGACATAGATGTAGAAGCCCATGATGGTCCTGGTCTCAGAGCCAGAAGTAAGGTACTGGTGACAGTTCTGGATGTAAATGACAACACTCCAGAAATCACAGTTACATCTCTCACCAGGACAATTCAAGAAACTTCTCCCCCAGGCACAGTAATTGCACTTTTCAATGTGCAAGACAATGACTCGGGAGAGAATGGTCTCATCACATGTTCTATTCCAGATAATCTGCCATTCACACTTGAAAAGACCTACGGAAATTATTATCGATTGTTAACACATAGAACTCTAGACAGGGAAGAAGTCTCAGAATATAACATCACAATAACGGCTACTGACCAAGGAACTCCACCATTGTCTACAGAGACTCACATCTCGACACTCGTGGGAGACATCAATGACAACCCACCAATTTTCCCTCAAGCCTTCTATTCTGCCTACATTCCAGAAAACAACCCCAGAGGAGCCTCTATTTTATCCATTACAGCCCAGGACCCTGACAGTGGTGAGAATGCCAGAATCTCCTACTCCTTGGCTGAGGACACTTTCCAGGGTGTGCCCCTGTCCTCCTACATCTCCATCAACTCCAACACTGGTGTCCTATATGCCCTGCGTTCCTTTGATTATGAGCAGTTTAGAGACATACAGCTACAAGTGACAGCCAGTGACAGCGGAAACCCCCCGCTCAGCAGCAATGTGTCACTGAGCCTGTTTGTGCTGGACCAGAATGACAATGCACCTGAGATCTTGTACCCTGCCGTTCCTACAGATGGTTCTACAGGTGTGGAGCTGGCACCCCGCTCTGCAGAGCCTGGCTACCTGGTGACCAAGGTGGTAGCAGTGGACAGAGACTCGGGCCAGAATGCCTGGCTGTCTTACCGCCTACTCAAGGCTAGTGAGCCAGGACTCTTCTCTGTGGGGCTGCACACGGGCGAGGTGCGCACTGCATGAGCCCTACTGGACAGAGATGCACTGAAACAGAGCCTTGTGGTGGCTGTCCAGGACCATGGCCAGCCCCCTCTCTCAACCACAGTCACTCTTACTGTTGCTGTGGCTGACAACATTCCTGAGGTGCTGGCTGACCTGGGCAGCATCAAGACCACAGCTGATCCCGATGATTCAGGCCTCACGCTGTACCTGGTGGTGGCAGTGGCTTCGGTATCCTGCGTCTTTCTTGCTTTCGTCATTATGCTTCTGGCACTCAGGCTTCGGCGGTGGCATAAATCACGCCTGCTCCAAGCTTCCAGAGATGAATTGGGGGGTGTGCCTGCCTCCCACTTTGTGGGTATAGAAGGGGTGCAGGCTTTCCTGCAGACCTATTCCCATGAGGTCTCCCTCACTGCGGACTCAAGAAATAGTCACCTAATCTTCCCTCAACCCAACTATGCAGACACGCTCATCAGCCAGGAGAGCTGTGAGAAAAGTGAGCCTCTTCTGATAACTCAGGATTTACTTGAAACAAAAGGAGACTCTAATCTTCAGGTAAGTATAATCTTCTTATTACACTGAAACATAGACATGAAGCTTTGTAAATATTTCCAATTATGTAGGGTATGTAATATATCCAATAAAGGCACTTCTGTATTAATACCCTATAACTTTAAAGGGAAGAAACAATAATGATTGATAACTACTATACAAAAAAGCTATTAGTTTATTACTTATTCTCTTTAGTCTTTATTCAGTTGTACTTTCAGCAGAAACTTTTTAATTTTAAACCTCTGAAATATCTCACTTCTTAAATATCATTTTCCCTTAGGCAATACTGAAAGCATGGCTTCGCCCTATGAAATAGAAGGCAATTATATAAATTCATGGCATTCTTTCACAGGAAGTTATTGTTAAATCAGGACTATTTAAATTTTTTCTCTTTTCAAAAAATAATTCACAAAATAGAAAATGACAAATTCCCTCTTTTCTCACTCTATCAAGCTTTGCTTGAAGTTTACTTTTCTTTCCTTGAAAGGTTACTTTCTATTATAATAGAAAATAGCAATTTATGTATGGTTGGAGAAATTTAACTTTTTATATAACTTTAACAGAGCTGTTTTCTCAATTGACCAGTATATTTTGAATATTTGTTGTTCCTGTTCTGAGTTGTACTAGCAATGACTATATGTGATTCCTTCAGTGCACATCTGTGATTATTGAAATATTGCCCATTTTATTTCACTTATATTTAAGTAAATTTATGAGTAATTTTAATAATTTCTAAATGCCTAGTGTGGCATTACTTTAAGACTGTTCCTGATTTCTAAGGAAAAATCTTTCTGAAGTCTTTCTATTTTTTATCATGTAAGCCTCTTACAAAGGTTAAATGACTTGGATTCTGAACTGATAATAACTCCTGCTACTTAGTAAACAGGCATCATCCCTGTCCCTACAATTGCTTGCATATAATTCTTTTATTATGAGGCTCTGAGGTGATCTGATATGGGAGAAAATATTTTATTTGTAAGGAATATGCAACATTTTTGTTCCTTGGCCTTTACTTAGTTCTGTGAATTAATTCAGAATTCATGAATGCCAATGTCTACACAAATTAGTGTATGCTGATAACTGGAAGTTGTGGAGATATGCTTCTTTCAACTTAAGAAGGAGAGTTTTAGTTTCCACATGGTTTCATATTCATGGAAAATTGCAGTGAAATATATAGTAAACTGGAATATGATGTGATACAATTAGCCAGTGTTGGGGTAGGAAAGAGAATAACAAGTGAATATTGAGAGACAATTCATACCTGAAGAGGAGTTATTTAAAATACTGAAGCTCTGGATCAGCGGGGTGGCTCCTGCTGGTAATCCTAGCACTCTGGGAGGACAAGGTGGGAGGATCACCTGAGCTCCAGAGTTTGAGGCCAGCCTGACCAAGAGTGAGATCCCTGTCTCTACTAAAAACAGAAAAAGTAACTGGGCTTGGTGACATGTGCCTGTAGTCTCAGCTACTTGGGAGGCTGAGGCAAGGGGATCACTTGAGCCCAAGAGTTTGATGTTGTTGTGAGCTATGATGACACCATGGTACTCTACCCAGGGCAACAGAATGAGACTCTGTCTCAAAACAGAAACAAAAACAAGACAAAACAAAATCTGAAGCTCTAAAGTATAATTTGAAAATTTTCTATTTTCTTGAACCTGGGTCAAATATATTCAGATAGCATTAGGAATACGTTCCAGAATCAGAGTGATACATGTTTCAATGCCTGGGAAAGTGATAATTTACCTAATATCATGTGGAAAATATGTTTTTGTTGAATAGGCACTGGGTTTGTTTCTAGAAAGTATTTCTGATTAAATTAGTTGTTGTAGCATATCCATATGATGGACTACTATGTGGCTATGAGTGATAAATGGAAAACTCGGCCAAGGCAGTACAAAGTTCCAGTAGTCTCAACTAACTAGGGGAGCTGAGGCAAGAAGATCAGTTGAGCCAAGGAGTTTGAGGCCAGCAACATAGCCAGACCCTGCCTCTACACGGGAGGAGGGGGAAAGGAGAAACCTCTTTCTGTACTGATATGATATTAAATGATCTTCAAGATTAAGTGGATGAAAATGGCAAGGTGCAGATCATTGTATATTAGATGTTTACATTTGTGTCGAAAATGGGAGAAGAACGTTTGTAAAAATCTGCTGCACTATACAAATCGTATCTGTGGAAGGAGACACAGAAACAACACTTATTTCTGATGGGAAAATGTGTTATCAAAAGCGGTGATGAGAGAGAGAACATTTGATGTATGTACCTTTTGAATTTGGAACGATTTTAATATATTACTTTCTTAAAAACAAATAAACACTCTTTATAAATCCATGAAAGAAAGAATTCTTTGCAGACATTTACAAAACATTCCTGCGGTTTTCTGAGAAAACCTCTGGGCGTCGCTGTAGGCCAAAGAACTGAGAAAAGACCGCAGAGACGCATTTGAGAGTCTCTTAGAAGGTAACTTCCTGCTCAGACTAATCGCACAGAGGAGGCCAGTACAGATTCGGATCAGAAAACAAAAGTAGGGAAAGTGACCGTAGCCAGGATTCTGCCATCCACGGAGAGCTTTCTTTTCCTAGTGGCAGGAGAGCAGAGGAGCGCGGAGGAAGATAGAAGATGAAGCCGGGCTTGGGAAGGTTCAGTGAGGTGCGGTGGCTGCAGGTACTGTGGCTCTTCATGCTGTCTTTGTTTCACCGGGCTCTCCCAGACCAGATCCGCTATTCAATTCCCGAGGAGCTGGCCAAGAACTCGGTGGTAGGAAACCTCGCCAAGGATGTGGGGCTTAGTGTCCGGGACTTGGTGGTCCGGAAGCTGAGGGTTAGCGCAGAGAAGGAATATTTCACTGTAAACCCAGAGACCGGGGACTTACTTGTGGGTGACAGAATAGACCGAGAGCAGATTTGCGGAAAGCAGCTTCTGTGTATTCTGGATTTTGATACTGTCACTGAAAACCCACTAAATATTTTCCATGTAGCAATAACTGTGCAAGATATAAATGACAACATTCCAATGTTCAAACAGAGTATGGTTGATTTAAAAATTGGGGAATCCACTAAAGCAGGTACAACATTTCCTCTAGATCCAGCCTTGGATTCGGATGTTGGTCTTAATTCACTACAAAGATACTACCTTAATGACAACGAGTATTTTGATCTCATCGAGAAACAGACTCCAGATGGACGTAAATATCCTGAGTTGATTCTGAAACATTCTCTGGACAGAGAAGAAAATAATGTCCACCTATTAGTCCTCACAGCTGTGGACGGTGGTGACCCACCTCAAAGTGGAACTACCCAAATACGAATCCAAGTGACTGATGCCAATGATAACCCTCCAGTGTTCAGCCAAGATGTATATAGGGTCTCTCTACGGGAGGACGTGCCCCCAGGCTCCTCCGTGCTTCAAGTGATGGCCACCGACCGGGATGAGGGAGTCAACGCGCACATCACCTACTCTTTTCATAATGTGGATGAACAAGTGCAACACTTTTTCAATTTAGATAAAATAACAGGAGAAATCACAACAAAAAATGATTTGGATTTTGAAATTGCTAATAGTTATACTCTGAGTATAGAAGCAAAAGATCCTGGAGATCTAGCAGCCCACTGCAGTATCCAAATCGAAATTCTTGATGAGAACGATTGTGCGCCAGAAGTGATAGTGACTTCAGTATTTACTCCTCTACCGGAGGATTCACCTCCAGGAACAGTGATCGCTTTGATAAAAACAAGAGACAGAGACTCTGGAGAAAATGGAGACGTTTACTGTCGCGTCTTGGGAAATGGCAAGTTTATTTTGAAATCTTCCTCAAAGAACTATTACAAACTAGTGACAGACAGGGCTCTGGACCGGGAGCAGATCCCAGAATACAATGTCACCATCACAGCCACCGACAGGGGCAAGCCGCCTCTGTCCTCCAGCATAAGCGTCACTTTTCACATCTCTGACATCAATGATAATGCCCCGGTTTTTCACCAGAGTTCCTACTTGGTCCACGTAGCAGAGAACAACCCGCCAGGAGCTTCAATTGCTCAAGTTAGCGCCTCTGATCCGGATTTGGGACCCAATGGCAGCGTCTCTTACTCCATCGTAGCCAGCGACTTGGAGCCACGGGACTTACTGTCTTATGTGTCCGTGAGCGCTCAGAGCGGAGTGGTGTTCGCCCAGCGCGCCTTCGATCATGAGCTGCTTCGCGCTTTTGAGCTGACGCTGCAGGCCAGCGACCAGGGCTCACCCGCGCTCAGCGCCAATGTGAGTCTGCGCGTGTTGGTGGACGACCGCAACGACAACGCGCCGCGGGTGCTGTACCCGGCGCTGGAGCCCGATGGCTCGGCGCTCTTCGATATGGTGCCGCGCGCGGCGGAGCCCGGCTACCTGGTCACCAAGGTGGTGGCGGTGGACGCAGACTCTGGACACAACGCCTGGCTGTCCTACCACGTGCTGCAGGCCAGCGAGCCTGGGCTCTTCAGCCTGGGGCTGCGCACTGGCGAGGTGCGCACCGCGCGTGCCTTGGGCGA